TCTCTCTCTCTCTCTCTCTCTCTCTCTCTCTCTCTCTCTCTCTGTTTTTGTGTGTGTTTGGTGCGCACGTGCGTCTGTGAGTTTGCATGGTTCCAGACTTCCATGTACATCTGGAAGTCTGGACCAGTGGCATACACATCGTTACATACATTCTGATTCTGTGGAATTTTTATTTTTCCTTTTTTGTATAGGTCTAGGAGAGATGATGCCCATCCAATTATGGGAGACCACTCTGGACCCTGATAAACGAGTGCTGAAGCAATTAGTTGTTGAAGATGCTGCAAAAGCAAATCTGGTGTTCTCCTCGCTTATGGGCAGTCGAGTAAGTGGCAATCTTTGCTCTCTCTGGGGATTCCTCGTGCTTTTTTCCCCATCTATAATTTTCATTGTTCCTAAAATTAAGAGTTCTATATTTTAGTTTTTGCAAGAATGCTATTGTAAACCTGTTATATAACATAGTTTAAAATTTGCTTAATAGCACTGGGATACTTTCCCTAATTTTAGTAAAGAGTATCACAATATATAGAGGTTGAGATGGATGAGTGACAAGACAAAAGATAGAATTAGAAACAAATGCATTCGGAAGAATTTAGGTGTGCCTCCAATAGGTGATAAGATGAGAGAAAGTTGACTTAGGTGGTTGGCTATGTGTAGCGCAAACCCAGTACAACACCTTGTTAGGAGGTACTAGTTGGTTCAAGTGGAAGGCTCAAATAAGGCAAAGGGTAGACCCAAAAGGACATGGTTGAAAGTAGTCAAAAAATAAATGGTGAATTATGGCCTCACTGAGGGTATGGTCCTTGATATAGCAGAATGATTGACTAGGATTAGTGTAGCTGACCCCAGATAGTTGGGAGAAGGCTCTGATGATGATGATGATGAGTATCACAATATATAAAAAGTTAATCCAGGCACAGAATTATATATTCATTTAGGAAGGTCGTGAGGTTATATAGTCCACCTCCATGTAAGTTGGGTATAACTTGGATTACAACTTAGGGAGGTATAATTTCGATTGTTTCATATGGAGGTGACTGTATCACCTCTCAACCTTCCTAGATGAGTATAAAATTCTGTGACTTAGTTGAACTCTGTATAGTCTGATACTTATTACCGAAACATTCAAATACTATCATACTTGTGAAGCTTCCAAACATAATGGTTCAAAATTTTTGTAGATTATGATCAAAAAGACTTAGCTTTTATGAAGTGTCTGAAGTCCCTTTGCACCATGATTTACTAAACTTCAGTACTTCGCAACCCATGTTGTACAACATGAGCAATTTTTAGCTCTGTTCTGCAAAGTAGTGCAGCATGCTTGTATTCAATGGTTGGTATAAAATAACCCAAGGTTTTCATGCAAAACCAAAATGTATGCACGTAACCACGCATGAAGCACACAAGAATGAGAGAGATGTCATGCTCCGGCCATTACACATTTGCGTATACTGTCAGTAAACATGTGGATCTACTGTCTGTAAACATGTGGATACACGTACTTGAGTTATGTATGCAAGTTTTAATGTCTTACACATATAGCTATCTGTGAAGTTATGGCATTCACTCAAAAAAAAAGTTAATGGCATTCACTCACGTTCATGACTGCACTTTAAGTAACTTGCTGAGTTCATGACTGCACTTTAAGTAACTTGCTGAGTGCTCTACATGATTGTATTATGATCATCAAAGCCTTTTCCCAAATAAATTTTAATATATCTTTCACGTATACCTATCTGTGAAGTTATGGCATTCACTCACATTCTACATGATTTTATTATGATTATCAGAGCCTTTTCCCAACTAATTGGGGTTGGCTCTTTAAATGATTATAAATGGATAGATATATTTGTGCAAGTACTTCCACGTGATAACAGTTTCATATGCTTCGATGTACTAATATGTCTCCATGGACATTCGAGGCAAATCTGGTACATGTTCTCATCATACAATGTAGTACAAGGCCTTCATGCATGGTCTGTACTCATGTAAAAAGTGTGAATGCCCATGTTATGAAGACTTAAATAAACCTCGAGGAAATGGTGCATGCCAATTTGGTCTATTTATTGTTCATGCATGGTTATACACTCAATCATGTAGACGTGCATACTTGCACCAGCATTATTGTGTTTATGCTTGCTTGTAGGTGCACATGACTTCCTTGGATGTATTCCTGGGCATAAACATATTTGGATATAGATGGTTGTGTTAAATTTGCAGTCATTAACACTGATCGCAGATGTGGCTGTTGACATTGCTACAACATCGGTTTGTTGTGATTTGAAGGGTTTTTAATAATCTGACATACAGCAGCATTTTGAAGTATCTGTGCAACAGAGATCGTAAATGCTAATTAGGGATTGTGGAACATGTCTCGGTGGTTGAGGCGTTTAAGGGTCTTTTCATGGTGCTTGCAGTTGAATCTAGCTACTAACGTTTCTCAAAACAAAAAAGATAAAATTCCTCTGTTAAACACTTATTGCACATATCTAACCATGAAAGTAACATGAAATAATTGATGCTGTGATTTATTTGTAATTTTATGTTTAGCTATCTGTGGAATAGTACTTTTTGGTCATCTTCCATAATAGATGTCACATATGGGTGCTTGCTGTTCTTGGAAGGAATATGGAGTTATAATCATTTAGAACCATTTAGTACTTGAATATCATTTTCTATGAGGAACATTATGTCGTATGATAGGTCATCAGTAAAGACTAGACACCATATACAGTGAATAGGAACTCAAAATTAAGCATGTATTCATGCAACGGACAACTTCTTCATTCTCATCACATTGAATTTTCTCTTGTTTCTTTTTTGGTGGTATGAGGTCATTAAAGTATTTTTATGGATATAGTAGAGTTTATTAGTTTATTCAGCAAATCATTAGAACTTTAAACCATTACTCTTTTATAATATAGTATTTGTAATGTAACTCGTACTGAAATACATACAGGTAGATTTCCGGAAAGAACTCATACAGAGCTCTGCGAGCATGATCAACTTTGATCATTTGGATATATGATTGAACGGGGCAAATAGTTAAGAAACCTGGGCACATATGTAGCAACACATTTCTTTGTTGCAATCACAGGCCAATGCAGAAGATTTAAGGTGTCACTTGTTCCCATTCTAGATGGAACTATCCTGGGCTAGAGTATTAGAGAACCACATTTTTTAGGCTGTTCGTTTAATTGTGGCCCCAACGAAAGACGGCTGGCTCGTTAGGGACATGCCTTTTGAAGCTGTTCCCGTTTCTTTGTAGTGACATGTATGAAATAATTATGTAGATATTTGAAAGTTTGTTGATTATATTTTTTTCCTTAGTCATATTATTGGAAATCTTTTACTCTCTAGAAATTTGTTGTTTTATTTTTATTTTTATTTTTAAAATATGATTACAACTATTTCTTCAACAAATTTGATTGATTGATATGAGTTGTTTTTTTGTTACAATGGATGGACGAAACAATGGTTGGGCCAATAGCTGCTTTAGCGGCAACTATCAACATTAGAAAATGTTCCGATATTCATATTAACGACTTTCAATATAAGCTCAAGATTCATAAGTGCTCTAACCATGTTTCGACTTGTGATTAATCTATAGATACCCTATAGAAAATAAATAACTACTTAAGACGTTAAGTGCATACTTGAACATCATTGACTGACACCCATAGATTCATTTCAATATGAATGGCAATTCAACCAATTTGATTGGCTATAAATATTTGATTGGCTATAAATATTGATAAAAGATGTCGAATAAAATGAGAAGTACAATACCAAGACCCACGAAGGTATTGGTAATAAAATTAGTCGAACTAAACTAAAAACGTTTCTTGTAATTGATGAGGTGTGGAGTGACTTACTCAAATGAACAAATTAGACTTGAATGACACCCATGTTTGTCAAATGAAATCAATCCTTGTTAATGGAGATGTTTCTCTGGTGCACACTAATAAGGTCATTGTTCCTGCTGAGTTACAGTTAATCTAACATTGACCATTTGGGACCTGAGCAGTGTTAAATAGCCTACATTCAATTGATGTCAGTGCGTGACTAGAATGTCTACTTGGGAAGGTAAAATATTGGTACTTTTCGATACGTCTATACGACGTGATACTCTATAAATAACGATACCTATCCACCTAATGGACCAATTGAGTGACACCAAAAAATATCTAAAATACCTTTAAAATACTGAATCAAATGCATATCTATTTTTTCCTTCATTTTTTATTTGTTGAAAATTTTAATTTCTAATTTTTAATTTTATAATGTTCATTATTTTAGTATATTTTTATATTTATATTAATTTTTTTAAAAAAAGTTCGAAATCTAATCAGCTGATTAGTGAATTGATTTGTTTTCCTTACCAAACAAAAGAAGACTCAAAAGCGAATCTAGCAACATGAGTCGTAACCATCATCATTTTATCTTTAATCACATAGGATTAAGAATTTATAATGTTCTAGTTCATCTTTTTATTTAAATTAGTTTAGTACGTAATTATTATAATAGAAATAGTTATTGTAATAATTATAACAACTGTAATAGCAATGAATATTATTTAGGCAACCATACTTATAGAAAATCATGTTTGTGGTATTTGTATCACCCTAAATTTTACACACGATCTCTTCATCCTCACAATCAATCCTACAAAAAACAAAATTTAATTTGCACTCTAGACATGGTCAAAATTAGTAGCCTCCAACAATGAATCTCGACTGTCCGTTTAGTGAATTTCAAGATCTAGGCCTTTCCAAATTCAAAATCATTTTTTTCTTTTTTAGTATTGTTAATCTAATTATCATAATACTATATAAAAATGTTGGGAATAAAATAATCCTTTCGAGACCTATATCTAACCATCTCACTAAAATGGATAGCTTATATAATTGGGTTAGAAAAACACTTTTGAGGGTGCTTTTCAAAATTTTCTTTTTCAATGATTGTTCATTAAGAGTGAAAAGAGTGTATATTTCAAATTTTGGATCAAAAAAATAGTTCTAATATGGTTTTTGAAGGTTGTTGCATCATATTACTATACAACTGTTGCATGAAATCACTGCCATGTTAAGTAAAGGTTATGTTAGGGTTCTCACACTATGGAGTAATATATCATTGTACTTAATAAATTTGGACACTTTTATACCCTTGTTTTGTACATGGAGTATTTTTTTTATAATCGTATTTGTGGTCATTAAGAGGGGTATGATGTCATCCTCATGAGGTCTGATATCACCCACATGGAGCATATTAGTGACATTTAATACTCTATGTAGGTGATGTAACATCCCATGTAGATGACGTCACTCTTTTCTAATAACCAAAAATACCATTATTTAAAAAAAGTTCTATATACAAAACAAAGGTATATAAATGTCTAAATTTTGTTAAGCACAATGATAAACTACTCCATTGTGAGCACCCTAACATAACCCACTAATTATAAAATAATTAGAATCATGATTAAATATAATGTATGTGATATACCCATATAAAGAACTATGTAATAAATATTAATAGTAAAAAAATTATGATTATTATAATTTTATAATTGTATATTCATTTTTGATAAACTTATCTGTTTTATATACATAGTAATAAAATTGTATATTTTATCTTAGGTATGGTTTGTATAACGTTGTAACCTTGAACAATCCAATTAAGGCGCACCTCCAAATTTTGTCATAACATGTAATTTTGGTGTAAAACATTCATAGGATTATCTCAAAATCTATTTTCATCTCTAATTATAAAATTTTAAACTCCAAAAATAGTTAAAATCATATGAAAATCTTACAAATGGATGGTCTAGATAATGTATTGCAAGATGCATTATCTTTGGGACTCCAAATCTTTCTCTTTCTTTTCGTTTTTTTTTTTTTTTTTTCTTCATATTCATACATCTCGATTTCGAGATAATCAATTAGAGGGGTTTACAACGTTAAAACAACCTTTTCCAATAGATTTTTTGAGGTGCATCTTTAACTCTACATTTTAAGGTTGCAACCTTATAAACTTTTTCTTTTATCTTAACATTATTAAACATAATCATGATTGAATCAATTGCGGTTAAATTAACATCTAAGTACTATTTTGTAATGTCACCTAAACAACTTACTCATTTTGATAGATGAAAGTGTAATAGCATAAAGAGTTAGACCTAGTCATGTTTTCTCGGTCATTATATTGTTCCTCATATTATGTAGCAATATTACATTAGGCGTGTTTCATAACAGGCTGTCAGAAGAGGAAGAAGGAACTTTACCTATTACTGTTCATGTTATGTGTTTGATGAAAACTGAAAGATAATTTGAGAATTGCCTTTTACTATTGAAGTTCCCACCTTTTACGCTTGAGTAAAGTTTTTTGGTAAACCATGGAACTTGAAAAAAGAACTCTTTATTTTGTCCATGATAT